TCAGAGCCTGAACGGCTGGGGATGTCACTGATGCCCAGTGGCTGGTGTGGAAGGCCCTGGGGCTGGCCACACTCTACTGAGATGGCTTTAATGAGGGAAGGCCTGCGAGCTCTGCCCCTCTGCTGGGCCCTGACTTCCCTTTGCCCTTCCGTTGTGGCCACCTGTGGAGGAAACAGCTGCAGGCCTGTGGTGTCCCCAGCTTGGTGATGATCCTCCAGGGCTAGCTCAAGGTCAACCACCATGCCCAGGCTGGGAGCACTGCATCACTCAAAGTTGCACTGACTGTTCCTGTTAATTCCAGAGGTTTACAGAGCCCCTACCCCACACCAGGCTTAGCGCTAGGCCTGGGGAGCCAGAAGAACTCAGCCTGAGGACATAGTTAGCCGAGGAGTGGACAATTACAGAATCAGTGTATCAGGCCCTGTGAATCGATGCAGTGTGGCGACTCTGGGGCCAGCTTGGTCTGATTTTGCAACCTGGCTTGGCCACTAGCTGGCTTTGACTTTGAGGAAGTGACTCAACCTCTCTGAAGGAGAATTGAAAAGGGAAGAACTTCACCACCTGACTCAGTGTTACTTAATGCCTTGGCCTGGAAATAAATCACCTCCCACTTCCATATGCCCGCCCTCTCTGAGTGTCAGATTCCTTGCTTTTAAAATAGGTAATAATAATATGAAGGTCTAGCCTACAGCTAGTCCATTAAGGGTATTGCTGATGTATAAACTTAACATACTGAGAATACTGAGGGGGCAGAGGTAGGGTGGGGGAGTCCTGGGCAGTGCAAATTGTTAATGCATTCAGCTGCAAAACCAAGGTTGGAGGTGTGAGTCCACCCAGAGGTACCTCTGAAGAAAGGCCTGGCAACCTACTTCTGAAAAAGCAGCCACAGGAAACCCTATGGAGCACATTTCTACTTTGATATACATGTAGTCGCCACAAGTCGGAATCAACTTGATGGAAACTGGTTATGTGAGGTCGAGGCAGGGAGGCAGAGTTGAGGAAAACTACAAAAGCAGTAGCGGCAATTAAGCTGAACCAAAAAATGAGACGTCAGGCTCACCAGGGAAGGAATGGCAAGTGCAAGGCAAAGGCACAGAGACATTCCTGCCTATAGTGTGCCCAGAGGATGGCGCTGTCAGGTGTGGGTAGAGGGTGCTGGGGACAGAAGACGAGGTAGGATGAGCAGCCGAGGGGTCCACTGCCCCAGGTCTCACCACCTAACAGGCAGGAGTACCTAAGCAGGCTCTCTGTGCTGTGGGCTGGCATATGGAAGTGGGAGGTGATTTATTTCCAGGCCAAGGCATTAAGTAACGCTGAGTCAGGTGGTGAAGTTATTCCCTTTTCAATTCTCCTTCAGTCCTCTGATTCAATCAGAAAGAAAGTCTCCACTTTTAATATCTCACAATTGCTAATCACATAGCCCTCAAAGTGACTACTTTCCAAGGCCAACTGTAACCACCAATAATTCAGCAACACTGTTATGTTCTCATGATTATCTTCTATTCAGAGCCCTGATCCTCGCTTTCCACTTACGACAGGGATACAAATTTGCCTTTCGAAATACATTTAAATGACTGATAATTCAGGAGATACTGAAGGCACTGGGGAGTCACCCAAACTCTGAGCCATGGAGGCCCAGAGCCAAATTTGGGTCTTGGAGAGATAACTGTCACAGAAGGGAGAAACCAGGGTAGAGGGACTGGTCAGCAGGGCCCTGAGCAGATCCAGGTAAAAATGAGGCAGGTGTGCCCAGGCAGTGGGCTTCGGGACGACAAGGGTCCAGGAGGGACATCCTGGAAGCAAACTGGACAGGGACTTGTGACCCGTTGTATGGATGCTGAGAGAAGAGGCAGCTTCTGTGTCTGCCCTGTAACCTGCAGTGTGTCTCGATAAGCATCTTTACGTGGATTTGGATATCTCTAACATCTCCCATCAGACTGGAAGCTTCTAGGACACAATGTTCTTATCTTCTATTTTTTTCCCCAACTGCCCAGTGTGTCTGGACTGTGTGTGGCTTACAAGTTGCTCCAGTGGTACAGCTGACAAGTCGGGATCACAAACAAGGGTGACCAACCATCCCAATCTGCCTGGGACTAAGGAATTTCCTGGGAAGCAGGACACTGGGACAATCCTGGGCAAAGTGAGTCCAGGTAGTCACCCTACTTCAGTCAGTCCTTGCAGGGTGGGAGCCCTGGGCCAGAACCCTGTTGGACTAGAGTTATTGGCTCTGGGATGGAAGTAAGAAGCTCACACCATCTGCCTGGGCCCAGGCCCAGACAACCAGTGTCATTTATATGAGCAATATCACCCACCCCAGAGCTGACCGCTAACCTTCTCAGAAAGTCTTAGGGCCTTCAGTTCTTTTCAAGAAAATACATTTCACCCTGGCTAGAAGCCTCCTGGCCACACTTGAAAATCTGTTACCCACTGAAGTTTGAGAATCCAAAGCCCCCAAGATGCCATGTTTCAGGCTTGACAACTATTCTGTGAGGAAAAGTCCCAGACCCTAACATTCAGAGCTCCATACGTCTGATTCCACTCTATCATCCCAACCACAATTTCTCTAATTCACTTAACTATACTTTGTGTTCCAGTCAAATGCCCCACGCTCAGTGGTCCATGCCTGTCCTTCCTCCTTCCCACTTCAGTCCTCTGTTCCTTGTGTTCTATATGCCTACAGGGCCCCCTTCCCATATCTTCCAATGCCTGAATTCCACCCAGACTTTAAGGTTCAGTACTTCTGCATGAAGCCTCCCCAAGTCCTTCAGGCAGAACATACTACAAATTCCTCTGATCCCACTCCAAAGCCTGATCCCGGTTATGGAGGCTGGTCAGGTTTCTTCTGCCTTGGACTGAACTGGACTGGAAAAAACCAGAGGGAGCGTTCACAGGGCCACTTTTGTGTCCTCCCCCTGCTGTGAGAAATCGCACACAGAATAAACACATAAATGAACAAATCCATAATACCTAACTGGGAGAACCTGTCAACAAATCACTCTGGGACAGCAAGGAACGTCTTCAAGGAGACTCGCCCATTCTTTAGTTATTCATTCATCCACTTGGCCAACAGTCTCCACTGACAGCCAAGGTGAACAAGGTAAACATGGTCCATGTCCTCCCAGTGCAGTGGGAAGGCAGGCAGATGCTGCATGGACCTGCTCTGCCCATGCCACAGCAGCCACCATGCAGCCCAGGGTGCTCTGGGCATGTGTGATGGAGGGCTTGGCCCAACCTCGGGTCATGGAGGCTCCCTGAGGAAGGGACACTAAAGTCAAGACATAAGCATGAAGAGGGCATGGCCACATACAGACTGGGGCTGTATCCAGGAAAATGCAAGGAGGTTGGGAGGTGTGTGTCTGTGTCCGCTCCTGTGCTCCCAAGCCAAAGGATCACCTGCCTCAGTTTCTTCATCAGGTTAACAGTGTTACTCTCTCCAGGTTGTTATGAGGATTTGCAGGGATAACGGGTGGGAAGCGCTCAGGACCTGGTCAAGCTCTACGCAAACATGAGGATTATTGTTGTCATTATTATCTGAACAGCTCACAGTTAGCCCGAGGATCCCAGGCAGCAGGCTTCAGCTCGGGCTGAGCTGGACAATAATCCTGCCTCACAATTAGCCCTGACCTGACAGGGAGGAGAAACGGGGGTGCTGCCTGAGCCCAGGTCAAACTGTGGGATTCTCAAAGGGCAGAATTGCGGAGGCCAAGAAGCCCAGAGGTGCAAGGGGGAAGGAGACTGGTTGTAGGCGAAAGGAAGACAGCAACCGAGGGCGTGGCAGAGGACAAGCCTGAGCAGAGGAATGAGACAAAGAACAGACGGAAGTGCGAGTGAACATACTCTCCCCTCCCACCTGCCCGAGCTCGGGAGAATTAGTGAGATGATTTCCTGTGGTAGATGCAGCCAAGCTCTGACATTTACAGGCCACTAGATCTCTTCAGGCCAGTTGCATGTTTAAAAGCCTGTCTGAAAGCCACGCTGTTAGAGGAAGGAGCCAACCACTGGCCGGAAACCCCCAAGGTGTGCAAATACCCACATCATTTCTCAGCAGGAAGGAGCTGGGGTGGAGCAAGCTAAGATTCAGGCCCTGACTTCAGTGGCCTGCCACGCAGGAGCTGAGGGTCACCTGGAGACCATGCTGGCCTTCCTGCTGGCCTTCAAGCACCCAGCCAGTCCTCCACTCCAGGCACTTGCCTCTACTGCTCCCTCTGCCTACAGCACTCTGTCTCAGATCCTTATACTACCAGCCCCACTGTACATTCAGGGCTCATATCCAGTGTCATCTCCTCTGAGAAGCCTAGAAAAGTGCCTGGAACATAGTAGGGGCTCAATACATGATTGATAAGTGAATGGGTAAGAGTATAGTGAAGGGTTTAAGAGCAGGGGCTCTGGTCAGACTGCCTAGGGTCTCATCCCAGCTCTTCCACCTATGGTGTGAGCTTGGGCCATTTACTTACCATCCCTGTAAAATGAGAATAACAACAGGTACCCACTTCATAGGATTATTGGGGGATTAAATGAGATCATAAGGAGCCCTGATGGTGCAATGGTTAAGCACCTGGCTGCTAACTGAAAGGCTGGGTGTTCAAACCCACCCAAAGGCTCCACAGGAAAAAGTGTTGGCGATCGGCTCCTGGAAAGGTGACAGCCAGGAAAACCCTATGGAGCAGTCCACTCTGCCACATGTGGTTGCTATGAGTTGAAATCAATTTGGTGGTAGGAAACAAGTGTCAGCACGTAAAGCAGTGCCTAACCCCCCAGTAAGCACTCAGCAAGCACGTGTTGCTGCCACCACGATCTTTGCTTGCTAATATTTCTTGGATATTTATTTGCTTACTTGTTTAACATCTGTCTCCCCCCACTCCATGTCAGCCCCAGCCTATCTTGCTCACTGCTGTATCCCTAGTTCCTAGCACAGCTGGGAAGAGAAAAGCAGACCTTTTCCCAGTCAGGGACTGTGGAGCTAGGGAGACGCAACTTCAGCTGGAGGTAGGAAGCCTCACCGATCTGTTTCTCCAGGGCGGCTGCCTCACAGACAGTGGCCCGGGGCAGGATCCCAGGGTCAGTGAAACTCGTCTGCAGCAAGCAGCTCATGACGAAGAAGAAGAGGATGGCGGCGATGATGGGGATGGCGAGGGTCAGCTCACTGGCCAGGAAGGGACAGCTAAAATGAGAGAGGGAGAGACAGGTCAGCAGATATCCCAGGGCTCACCGGGGCACAGGGCTACAGCACTAGACCAATGTCTTCTTCCCATCAAATACTACCACATTCTTCACTAGAGTCTGAGGCTGAGCCCCTTGGTGAGTATTACTATTCCCCTACAAGTGCCCAGAGCAGACATCACTGATTGATCCCCGCACTTTTCCCCTGAGCCCATAACAGATGTAACTAATCTCAGTACTCTTAACCCCTATACTTAGCCACTACTTCAGAATCCTTCCAAACACAGAGGATCAGACAGACACTACCAATTAATTGGACTGGCACTTGAGAAGAGCTATCCCTGACAATGTTCATTCATTTATTCACTCCACAAATATTTCTATACAAATTATGTGCTAGGCAACACCTTCAATAAGCAGTGGGAATACTGACAGAGAATAAGAGTCCCTCCCCAGAGCAGCTTATTTTGTAGTGGAAAACACAGACAAGTAAACAAGAAATTGCCACATAAGGTGATGCTTGCTGTAGTTGGGGGAGGGGGAAGCATAGTGTAAACCAACCAATTCTGCTTTAATTGGGAAAGTGGAGGCAGCCAGGACAGGATCTCTGAAGGAGATAACGTTTAAACTGAAATCTGAAGAATGAGTAGGGGCTACCAGGTGAAGGGAGAAGGGGGAAACAAAATGATTCAGCCACTGCCACTGTCACCAAGGACTGATGCCCCCAAAGCAGTTCTGCTAGGCTTTCTGGCCCTAATTGGCTTGGAGAACAGCCTATGTCTCCTGGGTGGCTGTGCCTCTTTTTTTTTTTTTTTAATTATGATTTGGGTGAAAATTTACAGAGCAAATTCACTTTCCATACAACAGTTCACAAACATTTTGTCTCATGACACTGACTACAATTTACCACAATGCAATAGCTTCCCTTCCACTTCCTCCCCATAGCTACCTCTTCCCTGTGTCCATCCCTCCATGCACTCCTGCCCCCTGAACTGTCTCCATGTGCATAAAGAGCCCTTCTTTCTCCCATGATTGTTCTCTCCAAGGAGTATATCTACATCAGGTCAATGTTCAACTCATATGCCTGTCTTTTGTT